CAATGTTTTTTTGTTGTTGTTGTTTTGTGTTCTTTTCTGGTACATGCCCCTAGCAGGAACAGAACCTGGGACTCTCTAGTCTGCAGGCCAACGCTCCAGCTCCAACCACTGAGCCAAACCCGCTAGAGCTATAATGCAATGTTTTAAAAAGTAGTTTCTGCTAACCAAATGGATCAACTCAGAGAAGTTAGGTGTTTATTGGAGGCTAATGCCTCTAATTGATTTTATAGTACTTGGAAGGGTATTATTATATATTACACATATAACACATATAATTAATACATGTATACAACACACATACAATTTAATATGATAATGTTAGGCTCATCTCAGAGGACATAAACTCATATTTTTCACTTCATTAAATTTTAAGGTTTCTATGTGTATTTTAGAAAGATACTTGATCTTGGATTTGAAAATGGTCAAAGATAACCTGCTGGTGGGAGAAAAAAAACTCAAGCAGAAAACTATGAATTAATCATTCTTTCAGTCATTCAACTAATGTTTCATTACTGAGAATATTTATAAGTGACACACTGGTTACATTTTTAAGCATTAATCCTTCACACAAGAACCCACTGATTGATACTTATCCCTAAACAAGCTATCTTGTGGTGGAGCTAACCCTGTGTAGATTTAGGCTTACCCCACAGAAGCAGGAGAGAGAGAAAAGTGAATTCAAGACTATAGTTTAAATAAGGAGTATGACTTGCAGTACACTTTGGCTTAAATACAAATTCTCATCCAAATGTCTAGGAGCAACCACAACCAAGAGGTCCAAACAGAGTTGCATAGTCATCCTAACAATAAAAAAAAAAAAAAATTAGTGCTAAATAATTGTTACTTTCATATGGTACATTTTCCCACATTTAAACTTATAAAAATTTTCTCTCCTTAATATAAGCAATTTTGCATAATTTAAAAAATAACTGGTGAATAATTTTGCAAATAACAACAAAAATATCATAATCCTTTAAAATTAGATCAATATTTTAATTGCAATACTCTTTTTGTCAGTTAATTTTACAGTGCCAATCTACAAAACATTTCCCAGTGGTGTTTGTTCTCAGAAATACACATAATATAAAGAGGCATCTCTCTTCTTTGTTACAAGGTGCACACTGGCTGGGGAAGAATGCATGAAATAGAGCAATCTACCTTGGGAGCTTATTAAGATCGTTAGTACTTTAAAACTAGGATATTGAATTAATTCCATAATCTGAAGATCTAGACCATCAAATACATAAACAAATATACCTATATTTATGCATATATCATCTGAAAATCAGAATCCTAAATTCATTAGTAAATGATTGAGAGTGTGAAATTCTAATACTGTAATTCTAAGGACAGTAATTTTAATTTTCTATACTTTTTTTTTTACATTATTCTCACCCACTGGCAACAACACGGTTTTGAGGTGGGGGTGGGAACCAAGACGCCCCCCCAAATCAAAATGAACATGAACAAAAGGCTGGGATCTCATTGTCTTCTAGTCTGTGACTGACTCACTCACGTGCAGCACAAATATCTTTATCAAGGAATTCAGACACCAGATACGTTCAATTACTACGTTCTATAATATTGTGCGGGGAAAGGAAACAAAGACACCATTTATTTCACATACATTTGATTTAGGGAGAGTCAAATAAAAGATAAGACAAGAGACAAGATCAAACAAGACATGAGACGGGAACCTAGGTGTAATATATTGACCTCTAAACAGTGCTTGCCATTGGCGAATTGTTCGGCAGAGTATAATCAGGACTCCACGTGCCCCTCTGTTCCAGAGAGGAAAAGCAGACCGGGCAAAATGAGGTGTACAAGAAGCCCCAGACTGAACTCTGAGGATTTCTAGTATGAATGTCACAACTCCCTAGAGGCATTTTGCCCTGCTGTCTCCATACTTAACAGTTAGACATAGCATCTGCCCTAAGGGCAATGTCTTCTACATGTTTTTCTTTCTCCACATTTTTCCCATAAAGTAAAACTGAGTCTGTAGAAAGCAAAATAGACGTCTATGGATCCCCAATGAGAATCGAGCATTTGCCCAAGGTCTCCCAAATCTACTAGCTGCAAACCAACAGCAGAAAGTTGCAAAGCTGCACCAACAGGCCTGAGTCTAAGGGCTGCTGCTGCACTTTTTAGGTTTCCTGGTCAAGCGCAAAAGAAAAAATGGAGGAGCAGGGGTGGGGGGTGGGGGGGTAGAGGGTTCGGGGTGGGTAGCAAGTAGTGCGCAAAATTCCAAAATTGGTAATAAAAAAAAAAACTATCCCTCCGTAAAATTAAGAAGGTCCAGCTTTCGCATGGCAAACCCAAGAGACGTGTGCTTTAGAGGTGGGGTGTGGGTGTCTTCTCCACAATAAGGTTATTGCTAAGGCACCCAACGGAGCTTGTCTCGTTTCCAGGGATGGGGAGCTCACATATTTCTTCCGTTTGTCCTCTCCACCCCCATCCCTACACCCCAGTGAAGCTGATGAGTGAATACATGATCCCAATGTACCCAGGGCAGTTTATTTCCTTTAAGTTAACAAAATTAAACCAAGTCCCCCTGCGATGGCGAAGATAGGATTTCCTGACAGCAGACTCAGGCCTCTAGACACTTTTCAGACCCCAGCCGTCCTCATGCCCAGACTCTGCGACCCGAAGTCTGGGTCCTTTTCCCGTGGCTCCAGCGCAGCCAATACTTGCTTAGGGTCTCAGTTGCCCAAGAGCCCCAGACACGCAAAAGCCAAAGTGCCCTTTCCTTTAATATTTGCATAACTATTGGCCAAGAAATGGAATAAATAAATATTCCCATTTCCCGGATAGGGCACCTAGACTCAGAAAAATAATACCACTTGCTCACAAAGACTACGGATAAGAAGCCAGTTTTCCCCTCGAATTCACCGCCTTCAAACTGCATAAAAAGGGTATAGAAGGCGCGGTCTCCTGGGGCACCAACAACTTCTCACCTCCAGCGGCAACGGCTCGGGTTTGCGGATCAGGACTCGCTGTGGCTTCCGTGCGTGGATGGGAAGTGATTATGCCGGGAAAGTGGGCAGAGGAGACACCTCAAAGAAGTAGTTAAGAAACCTCTGCAAACTGGAGCAGGGAGATGCTTTCCTTTCTTGGCCAGAAGTGCCTGGAACGCAGCCCTCCCAAGGTCCAGCTTCACCACCGCCAGCCCCCAAGGCCCGCTGGGTTTTCTACACTGCATGTTGTGGGCCCTTGCCCGTGAGGTTTCTCACTAAAAGTTGTTCTTCCTGCGGATTAGGAAGTCACCCCAAGCTAGGGAAGGTTTGTGCTTTGTCATTATCCTCATCTCCCTCATTTTGTCCCTGCCCTGTCGCATTTCAAGAAAATGAGCTCTTAGAAAAGAAAGCCTCTCCGTTGAGGGGGCTGGAAATGATGTAAATGGTTGCAGGGCTTTTTTCTTCCCCTCTGCTATTTTTTTCGAGTGAACTGTGAAGATCTGTGAAAATAATATCAGGGTTTTCCGTCAGAACGAGCTATGCCCTGCACTCAGGCGTAGCATGATCTGACCCGACACCTCCAACCATCTGTGCTATCTATCTGCCTTCTGATTTACCGGAGCTGTACAAGCCGCATACAAATTGTACTTGATACTAAAGAAAAGACAGCCAGGGCCCAGTCCAGTTCGAGCGAACATTCCTATCTGATTCCTTTTTAGGGACAGGCCTTCCAAATATGGTTTTCCTTGGACTTCCCCTCCCAATTATTTTCTTCAAACTAAACAACCCCTGTCAAAGGCCCAGGTGAGATTGTGGTTTCTTTTGACCTAGGCCTCAGAAAATGATATGATGTGAACATCAATTGGGAATCAATAAAAATTACCAATTCAATCTGCTGGCCCAAAGGCAGAGCCACCAATAAGGCCCTTCTCTGCAGGAGGGGTCAGTGCTCAATGGCTTAGTAAGCGCTTTCTGCACCCCCCCCCAAAAAAAAACCATTGCTGTGCCCCCCCCACTCTATTTTACTTCTACTGAATTACTTTTGGGCTAAAAGGCCAAGGTTAGAGTTTCTATTTCCAGCTTAAGAGTTAAATGTTCTAACACAGGGTAGGGGGAAATTAGCCTGCAAGAAAAAGAGCAAATCGATATTTTTAAGATCTTTGAAATAAGCTTTTAAGTTGCTGTCCTGACCGGCCAATGACTTCTCACTCTAGATGTGTCTATGCTGCACATTTATTCAAGTCCATTAAACTGGGAGAGGGAGCTGAAAAGTATAAACTTTGGGGAGGGTGCAATGCCCCTTTTCTTACGAGTGTTTGACTTCATGGCCAGCACCTAGCTCTGGATAATTTCAGGAGGCTTTTGAAGGTGATGATGGTGGTGTATAGAGTCCAAACTGACCTCTTCTACAGATCCCCGGTCCCGTTCTGGTTCAGATTCGCTTCCCACTGGGCTGCTTTGGCAGCTGGAAAAGGAGGAAAGGCATGCAGGAATGGATGCTGGAAAGAAATGAGGTGATCCACTTTCCCTCCCTCCTGTTCGTGCGCTCCCCGCACTGCTTGCCGTTACGTTACAACTAAACTTGATGAATTCTTGGAGGATTTCGATTTGGCCCGTCCTCTTTGTCCTCTGGAGACCTCTTGACCCAGGCAAAGCATCGCCCCAAAGTGGATTCCTGTAGCATCACTGCCTCTTTGGGGAGTTGGGAGTGGGGGGGGGGGGAAGAACAGAGGAACAAGGTTAGAAAGAGGGGGATTGAAACGCTGCTGCTCTCGCCTTTCTTTTTAGGTCAGCCACTCGCAAGTCTTTTCCTCCTCAGGGTTCTGCAAAATACTGCCGAAAAGTCCACGGGTGAACAGCGGGCGCTGTCGAGAGCGGGGAGGTGCTGAAATGGCTTAGACGCCCTGGTTGCAGTCTTGATTGGCAGAGCCGGCCAGTGACTGACAGGGGGTCTCCATGGCGCCCGTTCTGCCAATCCGCCCACCCCAGTAGAGAAGCCAGCTCGCCACCCTGCCTGCCCTAATTGAGCCAAACCGAACCTGAGCCGCGGAGCCGAGCCGGAGCTGGCACCTCCTCCAATTCCTCCCGCCTGCTGGCTCCCTGCAGTTGCGCCGCCACCGCTGCCCCAGCGGTCAGTCCGTCTGCCCCGAGCTGGTTCACCGAGGAGAGCCTGGCGCACCCAGCCGGGCCCGTGGGCATCTGCTGCGTGTCCCGCTCCCAGCTTAGTGCTCCCGCTGCCGCCGGCGCTGCCTCGATGTTCCAACTGCCCATCTTGAATTTCAGCCCCCAGCAAGTGGCGGGGGTATGCGAGACTCTGGAGGAGAGCGGCGATGTGGAGCGCCTGGGTCGCTTCCTCTGGTCGCTGCCCGTGGCCCCAGCGGCCTGCGAGGCCCTCAACAAGAATGAATCGGTGCTGCGAGCTCGAGCCATCGTGGCTTTTCACGGTGGCAACTACCGCGAGCTCTACCATATCCTGGAAAACCACAAGTTCACCAAGGAGTCGCACGCCAAGCTGCAGGCGCTGTGGCTCGAAGCACATTACCAGGAGGCTGAGAAGCTGCGTGGACGGCCCCTGGGGCCAGTGGACAAGTACCGCGTGAGGAAGAAGTTCCCACTGCCGCGAACCATTTGGGATGGCGAACAGAAAACACACTGCTTCAAGGAGCGCACGCGGCACCTGCTACGGGAATGGTACCTGCAGGACCCATATCCCAACCCCAGCAAAAAGCGTGAGCTCGCCCAGGCAACCGGACTGACCCCTACGCAGGTGGGCAACTGGTTCAAAAACCGCCGACAAAGGGACCGGGCAGCTGCTGCAAAGAACAGGTCAGTACCTAGAGCCTCCTCGCCTTGTACTCTCACAGGAGGGTGGCTGGCGATGGCACCCTGGGCTCCTCACCAAGGTCCTGACTATTTGGATTTAACAGAGTTGGGAGCGCTGTCTTCGGTTATGAGCCCCTCTGTTCTGGGATTCTGGGCAGGAATTCCTTCCCTGCTTTTTGTTATCCACCTTCTTGTTCTGGGAGCCTGAGGGTCGATCCAGTAGCTGATTCCAGTCACCAAATCAAAGCTGCATTGGAGCGGGGCGGGGCACGGAAATAAAATTAAAATACCAGAAACAATGAGGGACCTCAAGACCCAAAGCTAATTCTTGTCAGCCTTGGCCTAGGCTCTTATTATTAAGTGAAGCCTGGCTTATTAACAATGTGGCAGTTTACTGGCATTTTTAAAGCTTAGATGCGTCCTTCTCTGGTGTTATGAAAACAGTTTTGGATGAACTTCTGTTTCTAATAAATGGGAAGTGAAATTTTCTGCCTAGGCACGGTAGCGCAGTGTCAAAACAGCAAATTAGTAGGCTATGGTTTTTCATTTTCCAGCATTTGGATCTCAATTAGCCAAACATTTTGGCCAAAAACCCAATCTCTTCCTTCAGGCCCAAATGCCCCCTGCAACTCCCCAGGCAGCCCTTTTTGCCCTTAGCTTTGGGCCCACCAGGCATCAGAGGCACAGACACAATCTGGGAATGGGGTCCCCTGTCCCAGAGCCTATTCCTCCCTTGTCACCCACACTTCATTTATCCTGACAGTATTGTAAATCTCTCAGAAGTGGACAACAACTGGGAATGACCCTGTGAGCCCAGCATCCCCAAAACTGGGGAGACTGAGAGCGAAAAAGGACTCTGAAGAAGGGTAGTGAAACTGCAGGGCTCTGTCAAAGGCAGCTGAAGACTCCTGTCAGACTCCTGTTGCCTCACCTTACTTGCTTTAGTGGGCTGAGTCTGAGGGAGAGCCACTGACCACTGGGCTTAAGGGATTCAGACCAGCGGGCAAGGGGAAATACCTAAATTAAGTGTGTTCCTTTCCTTCCCCGGTAGACTCCAGCAGCAAGTCCTGTCTCAGGGCTCTGGACGGGCACTAAGAGTCGAGGAAGAGGGCACAACCGAGGTGCTGGGCCCCACAGCCAGCCCAGCCGCCAGCCTATCCAGCAAGGCAGCCACTTCAGCCATCTCCATCACTTCAAGCGACAGCGAATGCGACATCTGAGCTGCCCACACGGCAGGCTCAGAAACAGAATCTGATGTATAAAAAGACACAAACGAAGGAGGGAGGGAAAGGAGAGACTAACCAAACAAACCCAGCGATTTCGAAGCCAGGGACTCTGGATAAGAGGCCTTTGAGCTCAGGTTGCCATGTCCACCCTGTGGCCCACTGGCTCCACTGGCGCAGTCTGGCCACTATTACAGGGGCCCATGGTGAGACCTGACCCAGCACTACATTCTCCATGGTTTGCTTTTTCCCATGGATAGTACTGTACTGCAAAGATGCCTCCAGAACCCGAACTGCAAGAGCGAGTACCTGCCCTGAATCTCCAGTGGGTATATCACGTCGAAAGGATGCTGTTATATATGTATAACTTTTGCTTTAAAGCTTTTTTAAACAAAACATATATATGCTGTTTATTTACTTATTTAAGAGACTGCTATGGTAGATTTCTCTGTATCTTGGGAACTTGCTGTTTCTAAAGGCACATGGTGGAGCCCAGGAGTTCTGTGTCAAGAAGCCAAACAATAAAATCCTGATGAGCAACCTTTCCTTATTAAGGGAGCTACTCTCAGATTCCTACCAAAAAAAAAAAAAAAATCCTTCTCTTCAACAGGCAGGCGAGGACTCCAGTGCAAATGGTATCTTTTGCTTTTCTAATGTCTCCTGGTTTATTTTATGGTAAGTCCAATAACCACCTCCCAAGTTAAATTGTGTATGTATGTATGTACGTACATGTACATGTACATGTGTATGATATATTTTAACCTAGAAATTGGCAATGTGAGCTTCCCCTAGAAGGCAACTCCCCACATCCTCAGTACAGGTAACTATGGCTTATCCACCTGACACTTTTGTTGAGTGTAAACAGCTTTCAAGAACAATTTAGAAAGCCAAGTTATAGGACTTAATAGTGAGTCCTATTTTATAAAAATGTAAGTCTATTCTGACACAGTCTCAGCAATGAGAAAGGCTTTCAATCTCCTTTGAGTCCCCTTCCCTTGCAAAAGCAGAAGGTACCCATGATCATGCTAGAGTGTGCATATACTACGTTTAGGATTGAATTCATTAAAATTAGATAAAAGATAGGAGAGTTGTAATAATTAGACTAGCATCTTCTCGCTGCAGAAGCAGGTTTTAATCAAATGCATTATTTCCAACAAAAGGAATATACTGAGGGGGAAGAATGTAGCCATGTCACATATTGAGGTGAAATAGAAATGACTGGCACTTTAAAAATCTGGTTTCTGTATTAAATATGAAAGGAATCATCCAGAGCCTCATTGTCCTGTAATGGCTTCAATTAAAAATATCAAATATTATTAGTATTTAATTTGCTCTCTCAATGTGTACATGCAGACACACACACACAAAGAAGTTCTTGCACTAAAAAAGTAAATGCTATCCAAAGAGTCTCTAAGCTTTTTTTTCTTTCCCTAGTGGAAAGGATAGCACATTATAAAATTTGACACTGATCTTTAAATAACCTGAGTTGAACTTTCCTCAAGTTTACCTCTCCACTGGATTCCTTTCAGTTTGCCTTCCTGTCCTTAACAGATGCTGTTTGGTTCAGAAGTCTGCTAACTTATTTGGATATAAGTGCCAATGTGCAAAACAAACAAAAATAAGTGAAGTCATCATGGAAGACAAAAATCAAATTTTGAGATGTATGGGGGAAGCTCAGGACATAAATAAAGGTTGTTTTTTTGTTTCTAAATTGTTTAAACAGATATGGCCTCATTTGGGGCTTTATAAATGGTTGTCATTGTATACAGTAGTCCTTATCCAGAGAGTTGTTGACAATCAAAACTCTTTTTTTGCTCAAGAGCTCTGGGTGGAAGGAATAGGAAAGTCTTTCTGATCAAGCTTGTGCTCTTCTAAAAAGTAAGCAAATGTCCCACTGTGAGTCCAGAAAGGCTAGGATGGCAGAGCTTCCTCAAGACTTTGTTTCCTAGAGTCTTTAGTAGTTCCTAGAATGCTAGGTCTCAGATGAGGCAAAGGAGGCACCTAAAACTTAAGGAGGCATTCACTCTCAAGGTCAAGCAAGTGCAAGGCATCTGGGAGTGAGTGCCTCCTTAAATTTTGCACTCTAGGTGCTTCCCTTGCCTCACTCTGGTCCCAAATCTGCCAAAGAGTATTGCACTTCAATGAAAAATCAAGGGATTTCCAGTCTTGTTCCCCAGTCTTACACCATCATAATTATGGAGCTGTCTAGACCAGCATTTGAAGAAGATAGTTGGCAAAATTTATCTCTTAAGCTGATGCTTCCAGATCCAAGAGGGAAGGGATAGGACTAATTAGTGGATTGATGTAAAGGAATTTGAGATTCTAAAATCCCACCCCATTTACCAGTTCAAATAATGCCTAAAAGCAAAAGGAAATGTCCACTCTACATTCTCAAAAAAAAAAAAAAAAAAAAGGTGGGGGTTTATATTGCTAAGAACTAATCTTTCTCTGTACAAATAATTTCTAAATAACAATTGCTCAGGGGAAAAATAAAAGGCCAAATAGTGATGGAGGATTTTTCTTTCTGCTTGGTGGAAGGCTTTAAAGTATATCTTTCTTTAAAGTACATCTAATTTGCTTTGAGTAACATGCTGCCTAAGGATTACATTATAAAGTAGCTATTCTGTTTCACCAATCTGGAGATTTATTAGATTTATCTAATTTCATTTTAGACTCTTAAAATGTGGCCTATTATTTAAGAGATTTAAAAAACGTTTATCTGAAACCTGGTGGCACCTAACTGCTTTTGTGAATAATCAAATCTTTCATGATCACATGTTGGAAGTTGGTCCAAATCTTCCCATGGACAGGTATTGTAAAAATTTCATTTTCTTTAAAAAATTTTTTTCCATATCAGTTTTATCCTAGTCTAGAAAGGTATTGTGTGTGTGTGTTTTTAAAATTCCATATAGTAGCAATGTGGGTTTTCTGAATTTGGAGAAATCTCCATATGATGGGTTTCCTTTCTTTCTTGAAATTCTTTTCCTGTAACAATTTCCCAAAAAGCAGTTACTCCAGCAAAGTGGAAGGAAACTGCAATTTTATATTTCAACAGAGCTGACCAATGCGAGGATTTAACCCCAGTCTCAACTCAGGCTCCTTTACTGGTTATAAACATTTCAACCACCCGCCAGTTACACCAAAAGCGCGACGGTTCCTGCTCCCCAAAGGCCGCAGCTCCGGTCTCCTCCACTTTAACGACCCACGGGGCTTCCACCCGCCGCGCTCGCTCGCTCATCGCCGCCTTTTCCCCTCACCAGTTTGTTTATAAAAATCTGGGAGGGAGGGGATGAGAGGGTGGGGGTGGGGAGGACTTGCTCTTTGTTTACATTAAACAAATGACAGGCAAAGAGCTCTAGCAAAATCTTCCTTGACCTCGTTCTCTCTCCCTAATTTTAACAAAAAGGAAAAAAATATTGTATCTAAAGACAACGTGAATGGGGCGGGAGGAGAAGAGAAGCAGCTTTTCGCTCCATTCAGCCGGGACGCTGGTGCGCGGACGATTTCCGCTCCCATTGTGAGGCGGGGCCGGGGGGCGGTGGTGAATGGGGGGTCTGCCCAGCGGCCCGCGGGGCTGTCAGGCGGCTCAGCGTAATCAGGGCTAATGACAGTGGCCCGGCGCTCCGCGGGACAATGCGCGGGGCCGCGGGGTTTTGTCGGCCTGAATGGCTAATAGGTTTGCCTGGGGGCTGCGAGGGGGCGGCGTCGGGGAGGGGAGGCGGCGAGGGGAGAAGGGGTCATTGTCCGCGCTCTGGCCCGGGTGCCGAGGCGCGTCCCTCCGCCGCGCGGCCCCTTGGAGGCCCGCTGGGAGAGGGCGGCCGGGGCGCCAGCGCGTGGGTCCCCCGGAGGAGGCGGCCCGAGCGAGGAGGTCGGGCCCGAACTTTTCCCCCAGGATAAGCCCAGAGTGGGCCCCAGTACGCGGGAAGGCGGGTCGTTCCTCCGGGGTCCCGATCTGGACTCGGAGCAGGACAACTCCACACACCCACCCTTTCGGTCCCGCGCCCTGGGCGTTCTCAGACGTGTAGCCCCGAGCCACTCCCGCGGTTAGACTGCCCGACTCAAGTAGCTCAAGGAGGGAAAGCTCTCAAAGCCAAGAGGGTAAGGACTTCAGTAAAAATCAAGGTGAGGGGCTGAACACACCAATGAGCGCTCTGGGGCAGCGGAGGCGCGCTGGCCCTCGAGCCTCTGACGGCGCGGGGTTCGAGAGCCTCGGGCGCGAGGAGCCTGCGCCGGGCGAGCCGCCGTGCGCCAGGGGCTGGGCCGAGCGGGAGAACAGTTGTCGCCGCCGGCTCTCGAGTCGCCCGAGCAGAGACGGAAGAGTAGGTAGGCTCCAGACTCAGGGAGAGGGATTTGCAGGCGCTGAGGCCTCGAGAGGGCTTTGCGCGCTTGGCTGATCCGAGGGGTCAGCCATCGGGGCCCAGAACCAGCCGGCAGGGCGCCCTGAGGACCAAATGTCCGCGACCGCTCCATTAAACTCTGGCTGGCCCCCGCCGCCAAACGAGAACCCTCCTTTCGGAAACTTGGCCGCTGCCCTTTCAGCTCTTCTGAATCTCCTCACGCCAGATCCTACCTTGCAGCTCTATTTGCTAGGATTTATATTCCCGAACTTCTTTAGACCTACCCTACCGTGAGGGATCCAACTGGTTTTCGCTTCCTTGTCAGGAGACAAAGGAGTGTGAGGGCGATCCCAGAGCAGAACAAGCAGTTTCACGCCTCCGTGCTTCTGCTCAGCGTGAGCAGCTCCCTGCCTGGACTGCTAACCTGTCAATCCGTCCAGCCTACCCCACCTCGAAGGAGGCTTGTTTGATTGACCGGGCGCTCACGGAGACTTTCCCGCTTCCTTGTTAATGCTTCCACCATATCCTAACTGAACGTCTGTTTTAAAAGTTGTAATACACTTATTTGTCTATATGTTATCCCTCCCCTCCGCCCCCGCTAGAATGTAAGCTGCTTAAGGACAAGGATCAAATCATACTCATCTTTATATTCCCAGCGCCTGTCTTAATTATTAGGTGCTCAATAAATATTTTAAAACTGAATGAATTAATGGATCTTCCTTGAAGCCTGCCTGTTATGAATTAGTGGAGGAGTGCTGCTAACTCTGAGCTCATTTGAACCACAAAGGTGACTAATACAGGCTGGACCGAAAGTTCACTTAAATCCCCCTGGCTCAGGTTACGGCTCTTACCTACTAGTCAGGTTGTCTGGGATGATTATCCCTCTAGGTGTGTTTTTTAGAATCCTGTGGCTTTGGGTTCATAACATGAAAATTATCTTCTCACACACACATTTTCCCAAACAATTAGGTAAGGGTTACCCCGTGGGTTTTGAAAATTCTAGCTATTATATCTTCTGAACCTTATAAAATATAACCTAATATTTTGTCTGTTATAGGATGATAGAGGTTTCCTGTTCCAAGATAACTCTTCTCTCTCTCTCTCTCTCTCTCTCTCTCTCTCTCTCTCTCGTCTTGACTTAAAATTAAATAATAAACACAACAAAATTCACAAACTCAGATCAATACTGTTGTAATAACCTGGTTATTAATTAACAGGGAAGGCAAATCTTATAGCCATGCCCAGTAAAGACTGGGTGACTAGGGAAGGTTCTTGCCTGTCAGTCACACCTGGGAACAGGTCATTGGCCAGAGTAGGCGTAGACACTGCAAGTGCAAGAAAATTCTAGAT